ACGTCCGCGGACAAGCTCTCCTCCCGCGCCATTCCCTGCGTCTTACTTGGCTTTCCCCCTGACGCGCCTGGCTGGCAGTTTTACCACCCCACCTCGCGCTGTGTCCTGCCCTCTCAGGACGTCACGTTTGACGAGTCGGTTCCCTTTTACCGTCTCTTCCCCTACCGCACTGCCCCTCTCCCCCCCCCGTCGCTCTTCCTCACACCAGGTCCACCTCCGGTAGACCCCCTCCCCCCTCAGGGTCCTGCTACCTCAGGTGTGTCTCAGGTAGACCCTGTCGAGCCTGTCGAGGTCGCTGTCGACTCTGGTGCTGCTAGGAGTACTGCGTCTGGGGGTGCTGAGCCTGGGGTTGCTGAGTCTGAGGGTGCGGAGCCTGGGGGTGCTGAGCCTGAGCGTGCGGAGCCTGGGGGTGCTGCGTCTGGGGGTGCTGAGCCTGGGGGTGCTGAGCGTGGGGGTGCTGAGCCTGAGCATGCTGAGCCTGGAGGTCCTACAGGTGCCTCGTCACGGCGGGAGCCTCTCTCTCCACCGCAGCTGCGCGAGTGGTTTGCTCGGCGCTGGAGCCTTCGGAGTGGCGCTGCTGGAGCTGTAGGTGCTGCAGGCGTTGGATCTAGAGGCGCTGGAGCTGGAGCTGCTGGAGGTAATGGAGCTGCTGGTCCCGGAGGTGCTCGTACTGGAGGTACTGGAGCTGCTGGAGCTGGTGGTGCTGCAGGCGTTGGAGCTGGAGACCCTGGAGCTGGAGCTGCTGGAGGTGCTAGAGCCACTAGTCCGGGAGGTGCTCGTACTGGAGGTACTGGAGCTGCTGAAGCTGGAGGTGCTGCAGGAGTTGGAGCTGGAGGCGCTGGAGCTGGAGCTGCTGGAGGTACTGGAGCTGCTGGAGCTGGTGGTGCTCCAGGCGTTGGAGCTGGAGACCCTGGAGCTGGAGCTGCTGTAGGTGCTGGAGCCGCTAGTCCCGGAGGTGCTCGTACTGGAGGTGCTGGAGCTGCTGGAGCTGGTGGTGCTGCAGGCGTTGGAGCTGGAAACCCTGGAGCTGGAGACCCTGGAGCTGGGGGTGCTGGTGCTGTCGGTGCTGGTTCTGGAGGCACTGTGCGGCCGCGACCGTACTTCGTTCCACTGCTTCAGCAGGTTCTTGGTCTCCCGCCTTCTACTGGCCTTACTCCTCCCTTACAGTGTCCACCGCCTGACCAGGCGCAGCCGCAGTTACAGCCGGCCTCCCCACTGCCTGCCCCCTCTCCTCACACTGAGCTGACAGGAGGTCTTACAGAGCGTCGTGAGCCTGCGTCTCGTCCTGCGTCGCCTGTTCGCGCTGTTCGCACAGGTCGTCGTGTTCCGCGTCAGCGTCCTCCTCCTGTTCCCGGCACGCACCAGATGGCACTTCGTCCTTCCTCTGTTCCACAGCGTGTCCCTCTGCCTTCCCCTCCTGCGTCCTCTCTTCCTGACGTTCCTGACCCGCCGTCCGACCTTGCTCGTGCTGCCAGTCCTACTGTCACACGTCTTCTAGCCACTGTTGTCACTAACCCTTCGTTTGAGTCCACTGCTGCGTCTGCCCTAGTTGCTGAGCTTGTTGACTTTGCTGCCGCCTGTCGCCTCGACTACGCCGCTAGTCTTGTTGCTGAGTCTGAGTCTGTCTGTCCTCCGTCCGTTGGGGGTGAGTGTGCTCTTGGCACGGACGTCCTTGAGGACAGGCAGGAGGACTTTGAGTGTTTTGCAGCTGCTGTACCTCATCTCGTATCCATGCTAATTGCACCTGAGGGAGACCCGGATGCACTAGACATCCCGACCCCGCGCTCTTACGCAGAGGCGATTACGGGTCCCTACTCCTCTCAGTGGCAGACAGCCATGGACGCAGAGATGGCATCCTGGAAGTCCACAGGCACTTACGTCGACGAGGTTCCTCCTCCTGGGGCGAACATAGTCGATGGCATGTGGATTTTCAGGGTGAAGCGGCCGCCAGGTTCTCCGCCTGTCTTCAAGGCGCGTTACTCTGCACGAGGCTTCAGTCAGCGACAGGGAGTTGACTTCTTCCAGACCTTCTCCCCTACCCCGAAGATGACCACTCTTCGGGTGCTGCTGCACATCGCCGCTCAGCGTGACTACGAGCTTCACTCTCTTGACTTCAGCACAGCTTTCTTACAGGGCAGCCTGCACGAGGAGATCTGGCTGCGCCGCCCACCTGGCTTCATAGGGTCGCTTCCTGCAGGTACCCAGTGGAGCCTCCGGCGGCCAGTCTACGGTCTCCGCCAGGCGCCTCGCGAGTGGCACGACACACTGAGGACGACGCTTGCGGCTCTTGGGTTTGCTCCTTCGACTGCTGACCCGTCGCTGTTTCTACGCACCGACACTTCGCTGCCGCCATTCTACGTCCTCGTGTACGTCGACGACTTGGCCTTTGCCACTGGTGACACTGAGGGACTGGCCCTAGTGAAGTCGGAGCTGCAGAAGAGACACACGTGCACAGACCTGGGTGAGCTGCGCAGCTATTTTGGCTTGCAGATCACCCGGGACAGAGCACGGCGCACCATTACCTTGACTCAGTCACACATGGTGCAGCAGGTCCTTCAGCGCTTCCGCTTCACGTACTCCTCGCCACAGTCCACTCCTCTGCCTACCGGTCACTCGCTCTCAGCTCCACCTTCGGACGAGTCCGTAGAGCCGAGTGGCCCGTATCCAGAGCTTGTGGGCTGCCTCATGTACCTGATGACCTGCACTCGACCTGACCTTGCCTACCCTCTTAGCATCCTGGCACGCTACATTGCGCCCGGGAGACGCCGACCAGAGCACTGGGAGGCCGCTAAAAGGGTGTTGCGCTACTTGTGCAGTACGTCGGGCATGGGGCTCGTGCTTGGAGGACGGGGTCGATTTGTCCTCACTGGACACGCAGACGCTTCTTGGGTTTACGACTTGGCTACGCAGCGGTCGTCACAGGGTTACACTTTCAGCCTTAGCTCCGGCTCTGTTTCTTGGCGGTCTACCCGCTCGTCTTCTGTTCTCAGTTCCAGTTGTGAGGCTGAGATCTACGCAAGGGCCATGGCTGCACAGGAGTTACGCTGGCTCACCTACCTGCTGACCGACTTGGGAGAGCTGCCTCGTTCTCCTCCAGTTCTGTACGTCGACAACAAGGCCATGATTGCCTTGTGTCAAGAGCACAGACTGGAGCACAGGACGAAGCACATCGCTCTGCGTTACTTCCTTGCTCGAGAGTTGCAGCAGCGTGGTCAGCTTCGTCTTGCTTACGTGGCCTCTCGGGCCAACACTGCTGATATCTTCACCAAGGCACTTCAGCCTTGTGATCATCAGCGTTTTTGTACTGTTCTAGGCCTTGTGCCTACTTGGCCTCCCTTGCTCACTTCTTGACTTTGCTTGTACTGTGATCTATATACGTATACCTGCATGCTTACACTTGCTAGGTTTTGATCACTGTACTGTTTGTTCTCCATTATATAACTCTGCATGTGAACTGGCCTTGTGGCCATTTGCTTGTGCTCAGAGTGTGTGGTGACTTCGTGAACCACCCTGAGCTTGCTTTGCTTTTCTTGACTGGTCTTGTGACCTCTTGTTCTCCCCCACTTTGCCTATGGGGGTGTGTCAAACTTATATGTTGCATGTTATGTAGGCTGTAGTGGGGTCGCCCATATAGGGTACAACCCAATTAGGGTTAGTACTTGTACCCATCTTGCTGCTAGTTCATTCATTCTCGTTCCTTAGTTTCTAACACAACGTTGCAGCAAGGCGGCTTGCAAGCGTTGCAACCGCAGGTGACTATTCTCTACTCCCCTTCGTTTCTCGCACACCATTTACCCAATGGGCCACCTGCTAACCTGCCACCTGCTGCTCGTAACCACCACTGCCTAGCAGGCCAAGAGAAGGACGTAGATGACAACTGTGTTTGTAGGTGCTGTTGAAAAGAGTGACCGCAGCATTGCTCTACTACAGCCTTGTGGCGATTGCATTTTGCATTACATCTTCTAGGTTTGGTGTTATTGCTTGTCGCCACTTATGATTGCAAATGACGACGTGCCTTGTTCTGCCCCTAAGTGCTTGTCTGGCCCCACGTGCTTGTCCGGCCCCAAGTGCTTGTCTGGCCCCACCTGCTTGTCTGCCCTCACATGTCTGAGTGCAGACTCGTGTGTGGTTCGCAACTGTGCCCCCAACGCCAACGGCTGGGCGAAGTGCGTGTGTCGAAGGGGCCTCAGGCTGATGCCCAATGCGCCCTGCGCTCATGAGTGACTCTGCCCAATTCACCCATCCTCACTTCTTCCGTTCCTTTGAGTCACACTTCCGCCATTGCTGCCTCTAGTTAAGACCTTAGTTGCAACCCAAGTCCTTTTGGGTGTGCATTCAGGCAGGGTACTCCGACCATTATTTCCACTCTCTCATGTCCTCACTCGACCATTCTGTCATTGTTGCTCCCTGTTCCACATGCGCTTTCTTTCTTGCTGTGAACCTGACAAACTCTGCTCGATAATGGACTGCGGGAAGAATGCGTACTCTGAGAAGGAGGGGGAGTGCACCATATGTCACTGCAAATGGGGCTATGCCATGACCGACAACGGCTGTGTTGGCCAGTGCTCTGCTGCAATGTGTAAAGAATATGTATGTGATTTTGTGCCGGATTAGTCAATGCCAAATCAGCTGAGAGGATGCATTTTATGTATTGTTGAGCAGTTGGATGGCATGACTTGGGCAGGTTCCATGACTATCACATGATATGAGTGATTTTTTTAGACGTCTAAAAAGTTCACTCATGTTACGTGGGCAGGTTACCATCACTGTGTGGTGTACTGATTTAGTGCGCTTTTCATTCGCCGTTTTATTTGATTCCCATTTCTTTCTGTTGCTTCTTCCCCCCATGGCAGACACATGTATACTGCAACCGCGCGCACGGCCACTATATCAAGGATACGTATGGGTTGGCATGTGTGTTTGTGATGTTGGCTTCATGCTGCAGAGCAAAGGCAAGACGTGCAAATGTAAGGATGATGTGTGTTGCTGTGCATTTATGCATGCTTTTGTGTCCTTACTTGTTGTGCTGCTATGTTTCCTTCTGTGTGCTCTTCCCCCCTCCCTCCCTCTTAAACGTTTCCTTCTGTGTGCCTCTCCTTCTCCCTCTCCCTCTCCCTCTTTCTCTCCCCCTACCACTCCCTCTACCACAAAAACTCTCCCTCCCTCTGGCTATACCTTTCCCTCTCCCTTTAACTGTCTTCTCCCTCTCCCTTTGTCTCTTCCTCTTGCTCAGGCTCTCTCTTTCTCGTCCTTCTACTCTCTCCACCTACGGCAAGCCTGCATCTACTCATCCTCTCCGCCTTCACCTCTATCGCTCTCGTTCCCTTGATCCACACAATGCCCCACACTCATTGGCACCCCGCTCCCACCTTTCCCCTCCCCTTCCTTCCCAGATAACCGCATTATTAGGAATTGTGACGTGCTCACGTCGTATTATTGTATGAAGTATCCAAAAGGTACTGCGATATGTGTCTGCAGATCAGGCTACAGAAAGCTTTATGGCGAATGCACTGGTATGTAACAATTTATCACCTTTAATACAACCTCACCCCCCTCCCAAACCCCCCTCTCCTCCCCATCCCTCCCCCCCCTCCCCTCACCCCTCTCACTTTATCCTCTGTCCCTCTCACACATTGGATTGTCCTGCTTTGTGCTGTCCTATGCGCCTGCCTTGTGTCACCTGCTTAAGTTGTACCACGATTACACTAACATTCTCCCCATTTCCTCGACCTGCTTTCCTGCACTAACATATCCCCACTATTCTCTACCCTGTGCTCACCAGGACCTGCAACCTGCGAGAACTGTCCAGCTGGGGCCTCATTCACTCTTGTCTCATATACTCTCAAGGCTTCTTACTGTTACTGCCCTGGTGGCTATGGCATGACCAGCACTTGTTGCTCCCGTGGTAAGACAATTATCTTGCATTCAAGGGCACCAATGTTTCAGGATAACCAAGATGCAAGGGTTTAGGTCTAGATAGTTGTGCGTGCATCACGAGTTTCATCAATAGTGCATACATCCTTGTCACAAGCCCATGCCCCATTTCAAACTCCATACCCCGTTTCAAACTCCCCCAATTTTCTGTTCTCCCACTTTCTCATCCTTCCAGGATATCCCCAACCGTCTCCTCGGCGAGTTTCACCCTGCACAACTATGACTTAACACCCAACACCTACACTCTGCACGTGATCTACAATGGCTGCAGCAACCTGCCTACGTCATTTGCTTACTACGTCCAGTCATACTGGCGAGTGGACCGGGCACCTGGAGGAGCGGGGAACTGCCGGATTATCTACATGTATCGCTATCCTAACTGCGCTAGAGCGCCCATTTTTCAGCTCCCGTACCTGTCACTCAGCAGCATCACTGCACAGGGTGTTCCGTAAGTCATATACCCTATCTATTTTTCCCATACATTTGTCTCATTCCTGCTTCGCGTTAAACTCCTCACTGGTTCTGGAAGCCACTCGGTCCCATGCACACCCACTTCTCATGTGCATTCACGTTTTCCTGCACCTACCCGTTTGTTATTGTGCCGCTAACAGAGACTATAATTTAGCTGACATGCTGTGTTTCAAGTGTATCCACTAGTCACTAGCTTGTGGAGATGCTTCTATGAAGTCCAAGAAGTCAAGACTCCAAATAAAACAATGCTCTTTCTCAAGACAAAAAGGCAGCAGGGAATTAGTCTTTCGATGAGCCTTTGAAGTGGTGCCTTTAATCCAGCCTGATTTAACCAGGGAAAGGAAGTTCTTGCTGTCTAGTTTTCTCTACCTCTCTTCTCCACCCGATTATCATTTTTGTTCTCCCTTCTTCCTCCCCTTTCTCTCTTCCTAGTCCAATAGCAATTACCTACATGTGTGTGTGTGTGTGTGTGTGTGTGTGTGTGTGTGTGTGTGTGTGTGTGTGTGTGTGTGTGTGTGTGTGTGTGTGTGTGTGTGTGTGTGTGTTGTGTGTGTGTGTGTGTGTGTGTGTGTGTGTGTGTGTGTGTGTGTGTGTGTGTGTGTGTGTGTGTGTGTGTGTGTGTGTGTGTGTGTGTGTGTGTGTGTGTGTGTGTGTGTGTGTGTGTATTTGGAGCATGCACATGAATAACAATAAACGAGTGCATGCACTAATACGAGAGTTTGGGCTTGCAAAAGCGAACTCCTTCCTGAGTTCACGTTGACAAAACATAGGTGTGGTATGTGGAAAGCTCAACAATCTGCTCCCTTCTTTACACATGTGCCCCTTCTTTACACATGTGCCCCTTCTTTACACATGTGCCCCTTCTTTACACATGTGCCCCTTCTTTACACATGTGCCCCTTCTTTACACATGTGCCCCTTCTTTACACATGTGCCCCTTCTTTACACATGTGCCCCTTCTTTACACATGTGCCCCTTCTTTACACATGTGCCCCTTCTTTACACATGTGCCCCTTCTTTACACATGTGCCCCTTCTTTACACATGTGCCCCTTCTTTACACATGTGCCCCTTCTTTACACATGTGCCCCTTCTTTACACATGTGCCCCTTCTTTACACATGTGCCCCTTCTTTACACATGTGCCCCTTCTTTACACATGTGCCCCTTCTTTACACATGTGCCCCTTCTTTACACATGTGCCCCTTCTTTACACATGTGCCCCTTCTTTACACATGTGCCCCTTCTTTACACATGTGCCCCTTCTTTACACATGTGCCCCTTCTTTACACATGTGCCCCTTCTTTACACATGTGCCCCTTCTTTACACATGTGCCCCTTCTTTACACATGTGCCCCTTCTTTACACATGTGCCCCTTCTTTACACATGTGCCCCTTCTTTACACATGTGCCCCTTCTTTACACATGTGCCCCTTCTTTACACATGTGCCCCTTCTTTACACATGTGCCCCTTCTTTACACATGTGCCCCTTCTTTACACATGTGCCCCTTCTTTACACATGTGCCCCTTCTTTACACATGTGCCCCTTCTTTACACATGTGCCCCTTCTTTACACATGTGCCCCTTCTTTACACATGTGCCCCTTCTTTACACATGTGCCCCTTCTTTACACATGTGCCCCTTCTTTACACATGTGCCCCTTCTTTACACATGTGCCCCTTCTTTACACATGTGCCCCTTCTTTACACATGTGCCCCTTCTTTACACATGTGCCCCTTCTTTACACATGTGCCCCTTCTTTACACATGTGCCCCTTCTTTACACATGTGCCCCTTCTTTACACATGTGCCCCTTCTTTACACATGTGCCCCTTCTTTACACATGTGCCCCTTCTTTACACATGTGCCCCTTCTTTACACATGTGCCCCTTCTTTACACATGTGCCCCTTCTTTACACATGTGCCCCTTCTTTACACATGTGCCCCTTCTTTACACATGTGCCCCTTCTTTACACATGTGCCCCTTCTTTACACATGTGCCCCTTCTTTACACATGTGCCCCTTCTTTACACATGTGCCCCTTCTTTACACATGTGCCCTTCTTTACACATGTGCCCCTTCTTTACACATGTGCCCCTTCTTTACACATGTGCCCCTTCTTTACACATGTGCCCCTTCTTTACACATGTGCCCCTTCTTTACACATGTGCCCCTTCTTTACACATGTGCCCCTTCTTTACACATGTGCCCCTTCTTTACACATGTGCCCCTTCTTTACACATGTGCCCCTTCTTTACACATGTGCCCCCTTCTTTACACATGTGCCCCTTCTTTACACATGTGCCCCTTCTTTACACATGTGCCCCTTCTTTACACATGTGCCCCTTCTTTACACATGTGCCCCTTCTTTACACATGTGCCCCTTCTTTACACATGTGCCCCTTCTTTACACATGTGCCCCTTCTTTACACATGTGCCCCTTCTTTACACATGTGCCCCTTCTTTACACATGTGCCCCTTCTTTACACATGTGCCCCTTCTTTACACATGTGCCCCTTCTTTACACATGTGCCCCTTCTTTACACATGTGCCCCTTCTTTACACATGTGCCCCTTCTTTACACATGTGCCCCTTCTTTACACATGTGCCCCTTCTTTACACATGTGCCCCTTCTTTACACATGTGCCCCTTCTTTACACATGTGCCCCTTCTTTACACATGTGCCCCTTCTTTACACATGTGCCCCTTCTTTACACATGTGCCCCTTCTTTACACATGTGCCCCTTCTTTACACATGTGCCCCTTCTTTACACATGTGCCCCTTCTTTACACATGTGCCCCTTCTTTACACATGTGCCCCTTCTTTACACATGTGCCCCTTCTTTACACATGTGCCCCTTCTTACACTGTGCCCCTTCTTTACACATGTGCCCCTTCTTTACACATGTGCCCCTTCTTTACACATGTGCCAATGCCCTTCTTTACACATGTGCCCCTTCTTTACACATGTGCCCCTTCTTTACACATGTGCCCCTTCTTTACACATGTGCCCCTTCTTTACACATGTGCCCCTTCTTTACACATGTGCCCCTTCTTTACACATGTGCCCCTTCTTTACACATGTGCCCCTTCTTTACACATGTGCCCCTTCTTTACACATGTGCCCCTTCTTTACACATGTGCCCCTTCTTTACACATGTGCCCCTTCTTTACACATGTGCCCCTTCTTTACACATGTGCCCCTTCTTTACACATGTGCCCCTTCTTTACACATGTGCCCCCTTCTTAACATGTGCCCCTCTTACACATGTGCCCCTTCTTTACACATGTGCCCCTTCTTTACACATGTGCCCCTTTCTTTACACATGTGCCCCTTCTTTACACATGTGCCCCCTTCTTTACACATGTGCCCCTTCTTACACATGTGCCCCTTCTTTACACATGTGCCCCTTCTTTTACACATGTGGCCCTCTCCTTTACACATGTGCCCCCTTCTTTACACATGTGCCCCTTCTTACACATGTGCCCCTTCTTTACACATGTGCCCCTTCTTTACACATGTGCCCCTTCTTTACACATGTGCCCCTTCTTTACACATGTGCCCCTTCTTTACACATGTGCCCCTTCTTTACACATGTGCCCCTTCTTTACACATGTGATGTGCCCCTTCTTTACACATGTGCCCCTTCTTTACACATGTGCCCCTTCTTTACACATGTGCCCCTTCTTTACACATGTGCCCCTTCTTACACGTTGCCCTTTTACACATGTGCCCCTTCTTTACACATGTGCCCCTTCTTTACACATGTGCCCCTTCTTTACACATGTGCCCCTTCTTTACACATGTGCCCCTTCTTTACACATGTGCCCCTTCTTTACACATGTGCCCCTTCTTTACACATGTGCCCCTTCTTTACACATGTGCCCCTTCTTTACACATGTGCCCCTTCTTTACACATGTGCCCCTTCTTTACACATGTGCCCCTTCTTTACACATGTGCCCCTTCTTTACACATGTGCCCCTTCTTTACACATGTGCCCCTTCTTTACACATGTGCCCCTTCTTTACACATGTGCCCCTTTTTTCCCCTTTTTACACATGTGCCCCTTCTTTACACATGTGCCCCCTTCTTTACACATGTGCCCCTTCTTTACACATGTGCCCCTTCTTTACACATGTGCCCCTTCTTTACACATGTGCCCCTTCTTTACACATGTGCCCCTTCTTTACACATGTGCCCCTTCTTTACACATGTGCCCCTTCTTTACACATGTGCCCCTTCTTTACACATGTGCCCCTTCTTTACACATGTGCCCCTTCTTTACACATGTGCCCCTTCTTTACACATGTGCCCCTTCTTTACACATGTGCCCCTTCTTTACACATGTGCCCCTTCTTTACACATGTGCCCCTTCTTTACACATGTGCCCCTTCTTTACACATGTGCCCCTTCTTTACACATGTGCCCCTTCTTTACACATGTGCCCCTTCTTTACACATGTGCCCCTTCTTTACACATGTGCCCCTTCTTTACACATGTGCCCCTTCTTTACACATGTGCCCCTTCTTTACACATGTGCCCCTTCTTTACACATGTGCCCCTTCTTTACACATGTGCCCCTTCTTTACACATGTGCCCCTTCTTTACACATGTGCCCCTTCTTTACACATGTGCCCCTTCTTTACACATGTGCCCCTTCTTTACACATGTGCCCCTTCTTTACACATGTGCCCCTTCTTACACATGTGCCCCTTCTTTACACATGTGCCCCCTTCTTTACACATGTGCCCCTTCTTTACACATGTGCCCCTTCTTTACACATGTGCCCCTTCTTTACACATGTGCCCCTTCTTTACACATGTGCCCCTTCTTTACACATGTGCCCCTTCTTTACACATGTGCCCCTTCTTTACACATGTGCCCCTTCTTTACACATGTGCCCCTTCTTTACACATGTGCCCCTTCTTTACACATGTGCCCCTTCTTTACACATGTGCCCCTTCTTTACACATGTGCCCCTTCTTTACACATGTGCCCCTTCTTTACACATGTGCCCCTTCTTTACACATGTGCCCCTTCTTACACATGTGCCCCTTCTTTACACATGTGCCCCTTCTTTACACATGTGCCCCCTTCTTTACACATGTGCCCCTTCTTTACACATGTGCCCCTTCTTTACACATGTGCCCCTTCTTTACACATGTGCCCCTTCTTTACACATGTGCCCCTTCTTTACACATGTGCCCCTTCTTTACACATGTGCCCCTTCTTTACACATGTGCCCCTTCTTTACACATGTGCCCCTTCTTTACACATGTGCCCCTTCTTTACACATGTGCCCCTTCTTTACACATGTGCCCCTTCTTTACACATGTGCCCCTTCTTTACACATGTGCCCCTTCTTTACACATGTGCCCCTTCTTTACACATGTGCCCCTTCTTACACATGTGCCCCTTCTTTACACATGTGCCCCTTCTTTACACATGTGCCCCTTCTTTACACATGTGCCCCTTCTTTACACATGTGCCCCTTCTTTACACATGTGCCCCTTCTTTACACATGTGCCCCTTCTTTACACATGTGCCCCTTCTTTACACATGTGCCCCTTCTTTACACATGTGCCCCTTCTTTACACATGTGCCCCTTCTTTACACATGTGCCCCTTCTTTACACATGTGCCCTTCTACCATGTGCCCCTTCTTTACACATGTGCCCCTTCTTTACACATGTGCCCCTTCTTTACACATGTGCCCCTTCTTTACACATGTGCCCCTTCTTACACATGTGCCCCTTCTTTACACATGTGCCCCTTCTGTACACATGTGCCCCTTCTTTACAATGTGCCCCTTCTTACACATGTGCCCCTTCTTTACACAATGTGCCCCTTCTTTACACATGTGCCCCCTTCTGTACACATGTGCCCCTTCTTTACACATGTGCCCCTTCTTTACACATGTGCCCTTCTTTACACATGTGCCCCCTATCTTTACACATGTGCCCCTTCTTTACACATGTGCCCCTTCTTTACACTGTGCCCCTTCTTTACACATGTGCCCCTTCTTTACACATGTGCCCCCTTCTTTACACATGTGCCCCTTCTTTACACATGTGCCCCTTCTTTAACACATGTGCCCCTTCTTTACACATGTGCCCCTTCTTTACACATGTGCCCCCCTTCTTTACACATGTGCCCCTTCTTTACACATGTGCCCCTTCTTTACACATGTGCCCCTTCTTTACACATGTGGCCCCTTCTTTACACATGTTGCCCCTTCTTTACACATGTGCCCCTTCTTTACACATGTGCCCCTTCTTTACACTGTGCCCCTTCTTTACACATGTGCCCCTTCTTTACACATGTGCCCCTTCTTTACACATGTGCCCCTTCTTTACACATGTGCCCCTTCTTTACACATGTGCCCCTTCTTTACACATGTGCCCCTTCTTTACACATGTGCCCCCTTCTTTACACATGTGCCCCTTCTTTACACATGTGCCCCTTCTTTACACATGTGCCCCTCTTTACACATGTGCCCCTTTCTTTACACATGTGCCCCTTCTTACCCATGTGCCCCTTCTTTACACATGTGCCCCTTCTTTACACATGTGCCCCTTCTTTACACATGTGCCCCTTCTTTACACATGTGCCCCTTCTTTACCACATGTGCCCCTTCTTTACACATGTGCCCCTTCTTTACACATGTGCCCCTTCTTTACACATGTGCCCCTTCTTTACACATGTGCCCCTTCTTTACACATGTGCCCTTCTTTACACATGTGCCCCTTCTTTACACATGTGCCCCTTCTTTACACATGTTGCCCCTTCTTTACACCATGTGCCCCTTCTTTACACATGTGCCCCTTCTTTACACATGTGCCCCTTCTTTACACATGTGCCCCTTCTTTACACATGTGCCCCTTCTTTACACATGTGCCCCTTCTTTACACATGTGCCCCTTCTTTACACATGTGCCCCTTCTTTACACATGTGCCCCTTCTTTACACATGTGCCCCTTCTTTACACATGTGGCCCTTCTTTACACAATGTGCCCCTTCTTCACATGTGCCCCTTCTTTACACATGTGCCCCTTCTTTACACATGTGCCCCTTCTTTACACATGTGCCCCTTCTTTACACATGTGCCCCTTCTTTACACATGTGCCCTTCTTACAACAGTGCCCTTCTTTACACATGTGCCCCTTCTTTACACATGTGCCCCTTCTTTACACATGTGCCCCTTCTTTACACAATGTGCCCCTTCTTTACACATGTGCCCCCTTCTTTACACATGTGCCCCTTCTTTACACATGTGCCCCTTCTTTACACATGTGCCCCTTCTTTACACATGTGCCCCCTTCTTTACACATGGGCCCCTTCTTTACACATGTCCCCTTCTTTACACATGTGCCCCTTCTTTACACATGTGCCCCTTCTTACCTCATTGCCCCTTCTTTACACATGTGCCCCTTCTTTACACATGTGCCCCTTCTTTCACATGGCCCTTCTTTACACATGTGCCCCTTCTTTACACATGTGCCCCTTCTTTACACATGTGCCCCTCTTTACACATGTGCCCCTTCTTTACACATGTGCCCCTTCTTTACACATGTGCCCCTTCTTTACACATGTGCCCCTTCTTTACACATGTGCCCCTTCTTTACACATGTGCCCCTTCTTTACACATGGCCCCTTCTTTACACATGTTGCCCCCTTCTTTACACATGTGCCCCTCTTTACACATGTGCACCGTTTCTTACACATGTGCCCCTTCTTTACACATGTGCCCCTTCTTTACACATGTGCCCCTTCTTTACCACATGTGCCCCTTCTTTTACACATGTGCCCCTTCTTTACAACATGTGCCCCTTCTTTACACATGTGCCCCTTCTTTACACATGTGCCCCTTCTTTACACATGTGCCCCTTCTTTACACATGTGCCCCTTCTTTACACATGTGCCCCTTCTTTACACATGTGCCCCTTCTTTACACATGTGCCCCTTCTTTACACATGTGCCCCTTCTTTACACATGTGCCCCTTCTTTACACATGTGCCCCTTCTTTACACATGTGCCCTTTTACCATGTGCCCCTTCTTTACACATGTGCCCCTTCTTTACACATGTGCCCCTTCTTTACACATGTGGCCCCTTCTTTACACATGTGCCCCTTCTTTACACATGTGCCCCTTCTTTACACATGTGCCCCTTCTTTACACATGTGCCCCTTCTTTACACATGTGCCCCTTCTTTACACATGTGCCCCTTCTTTACACATGTGCCCCTTCTTTACACATGTGCCCCTTCTTTACACATGTGCCCCTTCTTTACACATGTGCCCCTTCTTTACACATGTGCCCCTTCTTTACACATGTGCCCCTTCTTTACACATGTGCCCCTTCTTTACACATGTGCCCCTTCTTTACACATGTGCCCCTTCTTTACACATGTGCCCCTTCTTTACACATGTGCCCCTTCTTTACACATGTGCCCCTTCTTTACACATGTGCCCCTTCTTTACACATGTGCCCCTTCTTTACACATGTGCCCCTTCTTTACACATGTGCCCCTTCTTTACACATGTGCCCCTTCTTTACACATGTGCCCCTTCTTTACACATGTGCCCCTTCTTTACACATGTGCCCCTTCTTTACACATGTGCCCCTTCTTTACACATGTGCCCCTTCTTTACACATGTGCCCCTTCTTTACACATGTGCCCCTTCTTTACACATGTGCCCCTTCTTTACACATGTGCCCCTTCTTTACACATGTGCCCCTTCTTTACACATGTGCCCCTTCTTTACACATGTGCCCCTTCTTTACACATGTGCCCCTTCTTTACACATGTGCCCCTTCTTTACACATGTGCCCCTTCTTTACACATGTGCCCCTTCTTACACATGTGCCCCTTCTTTACACATGTGCCCCTTCTTTACACATGTGCCCCTTCTTTACACATGTGCCCCTTCTTTACACATGTGCCCCTTCTTTACACATGTGCCCCTTCTTTACACATGTGCCCCTTCTTTACACATGTGCCCCTTCTTTACACATGTGCCCCTTCTTTACACATGTGCCCCTTCTTTACACATGTGCCCCTTCTTTACACATGTGCCCCTTCTTTACACATGTGCCCCTTCTTTACACATGTGCCCCTTCTTTACACATGTGCCCCTTCTTTACACATGTGCCCCTTCTTTACACATGTGCCCCTTCTTTACACATGTGCCCCTTCTTTACACATGTGCCCCTTCTTTACACATGTGCCCCTTCTTTACACATGTGCCCCTTCTTTACACATGTGCCCCTTCTTTACACATGTGCCCCTTCTTTACACATGTGCCCCTTCTTTACACATGTGCCCCTTCTTTACACATGTGCCCCTTCTTTACACATGTGCCCCTTCTTTACACATGTGCCCCTTCTTTACACATGTGCCCCTTCTTTACACATGTGCCCCTTCTTACACATGTGCCCCTTCTTTACACATGTGCCCCTTCTTTACACATGTGCCCCTTCTTTACACATGTGCCCCTTCTTTACACATGTGCCCCTTCTTTACACATGTGCCCCTTCTTTACACATGTGCCCCTTCTTTACACATGTGCCCCTTCTTTACACATGTGCCCCTTCTTTACACATGTGCCCCTTCTTTACACATGTGCCCCTTCTTTACACATGTGCCCCTTCTTTACACATGTGCCCCTTCTTTACACATGTGCCCCTTCTTTACACATGTGCCCCTTCTTTACACATGTGCCCCTTCTTTACACATGTGCCCCTTCTTTACACATGTGCCCCTTCTTTACACATGTGCCCCTTCTTTACACATGTGCCCCTTCTTTACACATGTGCCCCTTCTTTACACATGTGCCCCTTCTTTACACATGTGCCCCTTCTTTACACATGTGCCCCTTCTTTACACATGTGCCCCTTCTTTACACATGTGCCCCTTCTTTACACATGTGCCCCTTCTTTACACATGTGCCCCTTCTTTACACATGTGCCCCTTCTTTACACATGTGCCCCTTCTTTACACATGTGCCCCTTCTTTACACATGTGCCCCTTCTTTACACATGTGCCCCTTCTTTACACATGTGCCCCTTCTTTACACATGTGCCCCTTCTTTACACATGTGCCCCTTCTTTACACATGTGCCCCTTCTTTACACATGTGCCCCTTCTTTTACACATGTGCCCCTTCTTTACACATGTGCCCCTTCTTTACACATGTGCCCCTTCTTTACACATGTGCCCCTTCTTTACACATGTGCCCCTTCTTTACACATGTGCCCCTTCTTTACACATGTGCCCCTTCTTTACACATGTGCCCCTTCTTTACACATGTGCCCCTTCTTTACACATGTGCCCCTTCTTTACACATGTGCCCCTTCTTTACACATGTGCCCCTTCTTTACACATGTGCCCCTTCTTTACACATGTGCCCCTTCTTTACACATGTGCCCCTTCTTTACACATGTGCCCCTTCTTTACACATGTGCCCCTTCTTTACACATGTGCCCCTTCTTTACACATGTGCCCCTTCTTTACACATGTGCCCCTTCTTTACACATGTGCCCCTTCTTTACACATGTGCCCCTTTCTTTACACATGTGCCCCTTCTTTACACATGTGCCCCTTCTTTACACATGTGCCCCTTCTTTACACATGTGCCCCTTCTTTACACATGTGCCCCTTCTTTACACATGTGCCCCTTCTTTACACATGTGCCCCTTCTTTACACATGTGCCCCTTCTTTACACATGTGCCCCTTCTTTACACATGTGCCCCTTCTTTACACATGTGCCCCTTCTTTACACATGTGCCCCTTCTTTACACATGTGCCCCTTCTTTACACATGTGCCCCTTCTTTACACATGTGCCCCTTCTTTACACATGTGCCCCTTCTTTACACATGTGCCCCTTCTTTACACATGTGCCCCTTCTTTACACATGTGCCCCTTCTTTACACATGTGCCCCTTCTTTACACATGTGCCCCTTCTTTACACATGTGCCCCTTCTTTACACATGTGCCCCTTCTTTACACATGTGCCCCTTCTTTACACATGTGCCCCTTCTTTACACATGTGCCCCTTCTTTACACATGTGCCCCTTCTTTACACATGTGCCCCTTCTTTACACATGTGCCCCTTCTTTACACATGTGCCCCTTCTTTACACATGTGCCCCTTCTTTACACATGTGCCCCTTCTTTACACATGTGCCCCTTCTTTACACATGTGCCCCTTCTTTACACATGTGCCCCTTCTTTACACATGTGCCCCTTCTTTACACATGTGCCCCTTCTTTACCACATGTGCCCCTTCTTTACACATGTGCCCCTTCTTTACACATGTGCCCCTTCTTTACACATGTGCCCCTTCTTTACACATGTGCCCCTTCTTTACACATGTGCCCCTTCTTTACACATGTGCCCCTTCTTTACACATGTGCCCCTTCTTTACACATGTGCCCCTTCTTTACACATGTGCCCCTTCTTTACACATGTGCCCCTTCTTTACACATGTGCCCCTTCTTTACACATGTGCCCCTTCTTTACACATGTGCCCCTTCTTTACACATGTGCCCCTTCTTTACACATGTGCCCCTTCTTTACACATGTGCCCCTTCTTTACACATGTGCCCCTTCTTTACACATGTGCCCCTTCTTTACACATGTGCCCCTTCTTTACACATGTGCCCCTTCTTTACACATGTGCCCCTTCTTTACACATGTGCCCCTTCTTTACACATGTGCCCCTTCTTTACACATGTGCCCCTTCTTACACATGTGCCCCTTCTTTACACATGTGCCCCTTCTTTACACATGTGCCCCTTCTTTACACATGTGCCCCTTCTTTACACATGTGCCCCTTCTTTACACATGTGCCCCTTCTTTACACATGTGCCCCTTCTTTACACATGTGCCCCTTCTTTACACATGTGCCCCTTCTTTACACATGTGCCCCTTCTTTACACATGTGCCCCTTCTTTACACATGTGCCCCTTCTTTACACATGTGCCCCTTCTTTACACATGTGCCCCTTCTTACACATGTGCCCCTTCTTTACACATGTGCCCCTTCTTTACACATGTGCCCCTTCTTTACACATGTGCCCCTTCTTTACACATGTGCCCCTTCTTTACACATGTGCCCCTTCTTTACACATGTGCCCCTTCTTTACACATGTGCCCCTTCTTTACACATGTGCCCCTTCTTTACACATGTGCCCCTTCTTTACACATGTGCCCCTTCTTTACACATGTGCCCCTTCTTTACACATGTGCCCCTTCTTTACACATGTGCCCCTTCTTTACACATGTGCCCCTTCTTTACACATGTGCCCCTTCTTTACACATGTGCCCCTTCTTTACACATGTGCCCCTTCTTTACACATGTGCCCCTTCTTTACACATGTGCCCCTTCTTTACACATGTGCCCCTTCTTTACACATGTGCCCCTTCTTTACACATGTGCCCCTTCTTTACACATGTGCCCCTTCTTTACACATGTGCCCCTTCTTTACACATGTGCCCCTTCTTTACACATGTGCCCCTTCTTTACACATGTGCCCCTTCTTTACACATGTGCCCCTTCTTTACACATGTGCCCCTTCTTTACACATGTGCCCCTTCTTTACACATGTGCCCCTTCTTTACACATGTGCCCCTTCTTTACACATGTGCCCCTTCTTTACACATGTGCCCCTTCTTTACACATGTGCCCCTTCTTTACACATGTGCCCCTTCTTTACACATGTGCCCCTTCTTTACACATGTGCCCCTTCTTTACACATGTGCCCCTTCTTTACACATGTGCCCCTTCTTTACACATGTGCCCCTTCTTTACACATGTGCCCCTTCTTTACACATGTGCCCCTTCTTTACACATGTGCCCCTTCTTTACACATGTGCCCCTTCTTTACACATGTGCCCCTTCTTTACACATGTGCCCCTTCTTTACACATGTGCCCCTTCTTTACACATGTGCCCCTTCTTTACACATGTGCCCCTTCTTTACACATGTGCCCCTTCTTTACACATGTGCCCCTTCTTTACACATGTGCCCCTTCTTTACACATGTGCCCCTTCTTTACACATGTGCCCCTTCTTTACACATGTGCCCCTTCTTTACACATGTGCCCCTTCTTTACACATGTGCCCCTTCTTTACACATGTGCCCCTTCTTTACACATGTGCCCCTTCTTTACACATGTGCCCCTTCTTTACACATGTGCCCCTTCTTTACACATGTGCCCCTTCTTTACTCACCCCGTAGTGAATTCTGCACGTACCCATTTTGAAGCAGAGGCAGCCCGTGTTCCCCTTCTTCATCTGTGCCTCTATCTTACATACATCTGTGCCTCCCTCACACGCATGCACCTCCCATCGTGCGAGCAGCCGTCTTGTGACACTCTCCCCATAGCAATAGAGAACTTGGCCATTGTGAAGCAGCTTTCTTATCCTCACTTCCCATGCTCCCCCGTGCTGCCCCATGCCTCTCCTTCGCTCATCACCCTCCCATGCAGCCATCTTTTCCTGTGACGCTCGCCCTGTAGTGGAGTTTGCAATTGGCACGAGCCACGAGAACATCTCCATAGTGAAGCAGCGGCAGCACAAGTCATGCTTTTCCATTGCACCCATGCCTCTCCCTTACGTTTGTGTCCATCCCCTGTACTCGTGACCCTCCCCTGCAGCCATCTTCTCCCGTGACACTCGCCCCATAGTGGAGTTTGCAATCCGTATCATTTCCATAGTGAAGCAGCAACACCACATGCTGATACCTCTCTGTTGCACCCATGCCTCTCCCTTACATCTGTGTTCATCCCCTATTCTCATGACACCTGCAGCCATCTTCTCCCGTGATGCTCGCCCCATAGTGTAGTTTGCCATCGAGAATGTCTCGATAGTGAAGCAGAGGCAGCACTCTGTACAGCAGCAGAGCGACAGGCGGCAGGCAGTGCGGCAGCAGCAGAGGCAGTAGCAGAAGCAGGAGAAGAAGCAGCAGCAGCAGAAGCAAGAAGCTGCGGAGGCTGGTTTGGGGAATGCAAGGGGGGCGAAAAGAAAGCCTGAGGAGGTCGAGGCATCTCCTGTTGGTGGTGATGAGTGCTCTCCAGCGAAGAAGAAGCAGATGCAGGTGAAGGGAGGGAAGGGACAGGTGCAGGTTCAGCAAGGGAAGGGGCAGGGGAAGATCGTGAAGGGACAGGGGAAGGACATAAAGGGACAGGGGAAGGACGTGAAGGGGCCTGAGGGACCATAGGGGCAAGCAGGTGGGAAGGCGGACGCTGCAGCAGAGCAGCAGAGGGTTGGTGCAAAGACAGCTGGTGCAACAGGCAGGGAGGATTGAGAGGCAGTGGGAAGGGCGAGTTAATGAGGAAGCAGAAGGGTGGAGCATGGAGCGATGGCGTGTCTGATGCTGCTGTAGTGAAGGCTGCTGGTGCTTCGCCTGCTGCTGCTGTGAAGGCTCCTCCTGGTGCCTCTCATGCTGCTGCATTGAGTCCTGGTGCTAAAAAGGCAATGACAGAACCAAGGAGGGGAGCAGCAGCAGTGGCAATGAAAGCTATTGCTACCTCCCTTGCTACCGCATTGACTCCCAGTTCTAAAAGGGGAAAGACAGACGCAGGCAGCATTAGCTGGGCTGGGGAGTGGAGGTGGTGGGGGGGAGGGGAGTAAGGTGAGGAGCAAGGAGGGGTCGGAGCTCCAGGAGTTGGTGGATGAGCTTGATAGGCTCGTGGCAGCTTACAGAGCGAAGAGCTATGGGTGAGAGACTGTAAGGGAGGGAGGGAGAGAGGGGCAAGGTGCAGGGCAAGGAGGAGTAGGATCACGAGGAGCTGGTGGATGAACTTGATAGGCTCGTGGCAGCTTACAACGAAGAACCAAGTGTTCTGATTTCTTATTCAATACAACATCCACATGCTGAATTTAGAGGTGTGGCTATCTCATCTCTTGGGGGGTTGATGGGTGTACCCTCCAACCACAATAGCTATCTCATCTATTGAAGATTGGTCATTGGTTGGCATTTGCCAAACGTTGGTCCTTAGCTCCACCAAACCCAACCAACTCACATTTTGTGGTTGCTTGGGCTACAAGCAAGCTCACCCATTGGCCAACCTAGTGGCCAATAGAGTAAGCTTCCCTACAAAGCCCAAAATATAAGGGTAAAAAATCATTTTCGCCCTGATAAGCAGCCTCTTTTTCCCAGTTACCCTTGCAAAATCAGTGGAATGAATTTTTTATCCTAGAGCAAAAAGATTAACTTTTGTTTTACCCTGATACTAATTTTTATTACCCTGACTGTACAGGGTTCGCTGAGCATTACACTAATACCGGAACCTTTTTTACCGGGCTGATCTCTCGCAGCTCAAAGGCGGCCTCCAGTAGCTCCTTCAGCTCCTTCAGCATCGCGGTGCTGCTGCTGGCGGCGAGCAGATCGTCGACGTAGACGAGGACCCAGCACGCTACTCCGTCGTCGCCAACTCTGAAATAGAGAGCCTTGTCGACCTGGCTTTTGCTCCAGCCGGCGCCAGTCAGCACAGCGTCGAGCGCCGAGTACCACAACAGAGGGCTCTGCTTCAGCCCATACAAGCTCTTCAGCAACTTGCATACGCGGCCGGTGCAATCGTTGTAGTAAGCCGGCTGATCCATGTAGAGCACGCGGTCGAGCTTGCTCTGCAGGAAGGCATTCTTCATGTCTAACTGCATGCGGTTCAGGTCGAGGACGGCGACGATGCTGAGGAAAATCCGCAGCGTGACGTAGCTTCCGACTGGTGCGTACGTCTCGTCGTAGTCGGCTCCGTAAACCTGCGTGAAGCCCTTCACCACCAGGCGCGCTTTTTCGCGGGCGACCGTGTCGTCGACGTGGTACTTCGTCGTTAGAACCCAGCGGTTCTTCATAACATTGACGCCGCGCGGACGCTCGACTAGCTCCCATGTGCCGTTGGAGATTAGACTTCGAATCTCCTCGTCCATTGCCGCTTTCACCGCCTTCCCTTTCCAGCTCGCTAACGCCTCCTTCACCGTCATGTTAGCAATGTCCCAGCGGTGCTCTGGGTCGGCGTGCATATCAGGGTAGAGCTCGGGCAAGTCGACGTCGGACGACGCATCGTCGGGCAGAGTGCTGTAGGAGGTCGGCGGCAGGCAAGCATGGTAGCTCAGCTTCTCGCGAGGCTTGCCAAAGTTGGAGCGGGTGGAACGTCGAACTGCTGGCTTGTCGGCCGAGACCTCCACCACGTCGCTGTCACTGGACTGCTCCCCGGTCGACAGCTCCCCTTCATCGCCGCCGACGACTTCAACAACATCGCTCGATGTGACGTCGTCGAACTGCTCCCCTGTCGTCCGCTCCTCTGAAGCGAGCTCCTCGTTCGACGGCTCCCCTGTCGACGGCTCCTCTGAAACGCGCTCCCCATGCGACGGCTCCCCTGTCGGCGGAGACTCCTCTCCAACGCCGACTTGCTCGCCGATCAGATCACGTCGACCGCCAGCGATGCCGATGGGCGGAGCCGAAGGCAACGCACCAATGCTCCCCTCATCGCTGGCGGCCGACGTCGATGCCGACTTAGGCAGGTCGGTGGCGAGCGATGGGAGGGGGGCGAATAGAGGCGGAGGAGCTTTCGAGGAGGGCGGAATGGAGGGAGCGGGATCGTCTGATGGATCGTCCTCGGCGGCAAGCAACTGAATCGCTGCCGGCGATGGACCCGGCAGCGGACAAACCTTCTTCCGCTCCGACGCATGCCCATGTTCCGCCTTCCACTCCTCTAGAGACATTGTCTCGTAGAAGATTGCTTCCACGGTTGTGACAATGTGGTTGTCCGTGAGGTCGAGCACCTCCCAGCCCTTGCTCTCTGGCGAAACACCGAGGTGAATTCCCCAGCATGCATTCGGAGCCAACTTTCCGCCGCGCAGCTGCTCCGAGACCATGAACTGCACCATGCAGCCCCACACGAGCGCCAGCGTAAGGTCCGGCTTCTTTTCGAACAGCAGCTCATACGGCGTCGTCCTCGGAGGAAGGGAGGCCCGTTCGAGACAGTTGCGCACCCAGACGGCGTGGCGAAGGGCGAGGTGCCACCAGTGATGCTTCACGCCCATGTGAAGCAACATCGTCGTGTCGACCATCAAGTCGTGTCGACCTTCGAGAAGCTTCGGCACAGCGATCTTGTCCGGCGAAAATTTAAAATAACCATACGCCGACGCGATGCCTCCGTCTCGACCAGCCGACGCATGAGTCGCCGAAGTCGGCCTGACTCCACTCCGCTGAGGAGAATGACGTCGACCATCGGTGTTGCCGTTCGAGCTGTCTGCAGCCGCCGTCGACCACAGCACTTGCGCCTGCACTCCGCCAACGCCGACGTCGGCGGCCCGAATCACTCCGAGAACCCTCGTGCTTCCGCCGCTGTCAACATTGCCGCCGTCGCCTTCGTCGTTCCGGAGTCGGGGAGAGGCGGACGCACCGTCCGCTTCAGCACGGGGAGGGGGATGCTCACGCGCCCACTGCGCACGAGTTCCTAGGAGCAAAATCTCCAAGTCCGCCTCGCCGTACCCGCCAGCCTCGTGGCGTGCCCGAACACCATCCAACCGCGCCTGCAGAGTATCCTCTACTCCTGCATCGACTCCTTGGTCGTCATGGCGGTTTAGACGGTTGCCGGCCTACAACGACTTATGTATAGAGCACAAAAGTCGGCTAATATGAAAGTTCTATCTAACACAGGGCCGTTCCACGCTCACCGCACCATGCGGAGAAAGCTGTTATACGGGAGAGCTGAATTGCGTGGGACGCACGGTCAGAGTTCTGGCTGTGATTCTTGACAGAGTATTAGAATGCCTTAGTAGAATTCAAGCATAGTCAAACATATATGACAAACATATATGACATAGTCTGTGTAGGCTGTAGTGGGGTAGTCAATATAGGGTACAACACTTTTAGGTTTCCTACTTGTACCCACCTACTTGCTAGTTCAATCATTCCTTCGTTCTCATTCTGACATGGTATTCTAAGCAGGTTCCCTCGTGGGAACGTTTTTTTTAGGGCCCACCACTGAAATTTTCCTTCCTGCCCGAAGCGCGCTGTCGCGCCTGCCTCTCCTGCGCCGTCGCGCGCCCTGTCCTGCTGTCGCGCTAGTCGCGACCCTGCCTGAGCCGCCCGTCGCGGCCCTGCCTTGTCGCCGCCCGTCGCGACCTAATCCGCCGCCCGTCGCGGTCCTGCTTTGCCACCCATCGCGGCCCTCTCCTGCCGCCCTACGTCGCGGCCCTGCCCTGCCGCCCTACGTCGCGGCCCTGCCTTGCCGCCGTCCGCGGCCCTGCTTTGCCGCCCGTCGCGGCCTACCCTAGCCGCCCGTTGCGGCCCTACCCTGCCGCCCCTCGTCGCGGCCCCGACCTTGCCGCCCGCCGCGGCCTCTGCCCTGCCGCTGCTCGTCGCGGCCCTGCCCTACCGCCGCCCAGCCACGGCCCTGCCCTGCTGCCGCCCTGTCGCGGCCCTGCTCTGCCGCCGACGCGTCGCGGCCCTGCCCTTCGGCCGCCCCAGTCGCGGCCCTGCTCTACCGCCGCCAAGTCGCGGCCCTGCCCTGCTGCCCCCCCAGTCGCGGCCCTGACCTAACCGCCAGCTGCGGCCCTGCCCTGCACCCGCCCCTGGTAAGCAACCGCGCCGCCCAGCCGAGCCGCGCCGCTCCTCCGAGCCGCGCCGCCCTGCCGCGCCGCGCCGCCCTACCGAGCCACGCCGCCCAGCCGAGCCGCGCCGCCCTTCCGAGCCGCGCCGCCCTACCGAGCTGCGCCGCCCTACTGAGCCGCACTGCCCTGCTTCTGCTGCTACTGCTGCTAAAGCTGCTACTGCTGCTTCTGCCGCTATGGCTAGTCCTACTGTTCTTACCTTTGATGCTGAGGGTCGTGCTGTTGACTTTGAGGTTTGGGTAGACGACCTACAGCTCTTTCTCCAGTGCCACTCCAAGGACGGAGTCTCCCTGTTCGATCACACGTCTGGTGTCTCTCCTGCACCTGCTGCCACTGCTGACAGTACGGTTCGCTCGCAGTGGACTACTCGTGACGTTGTTGCTCGTCTTGCTGTTCGTAGTCACCTGCCGTCTGCTGAGCGCGCGCAATTTGGTCAGTACAAGACTGCAAAGTCTCTGTATGACGCTGTTGTCGCGCGCTACTCCTCCCCTGCCACTGCTGCCCTCAGCCGCCTCATGCTGCCGTACATGTTTCCTAGGAAAAGTTGATAGAACAAGATTATGGTACAAGGAAGGAGAACCAAATAGCAAAGACAAAGAACCCTGGAGAAACGTTCCTCGACAAGCAAGCACCTTTGCCGAGTCAGAAACAGCAGGTGAAACGACAAGCACATGTGTCTTTCACCTGAATTGGCAATTTCTCAGGTTTACAACTTTCAGAGTTGTTTACGTTTTTACTGTTAGTAAAAACGTGCCTCAGGTTCAGTTTCCTTACTGATTCGAAATCTCCTGGGGAGTACAATTTTCGAGATGCTCTGATTGGTCGAAATTTGCTGTTTCGCGATTGGTCGAAATTCGCGCACATTGCAAATTTTGGAGACAATTCATTTCGGTCGACCAGAAACGCTCTGCTCGACGATGCCTCTTTCGAGCTTAATTCTGTCGACCAACGTTTCATCGAAACGCTGTTTTCTTCAATTCCGTCGACCCGCGAGGCTCGATTTCGACGCCGATTTCCTCTCGTTGACAAGTGCCTCGTCGATGGGCAGTTGCGTGGAGCAGAAACAACACTTCAATTTCGACGAATTAATATCGTCGAAAATCGACCCGTCGCACAGAGATCAGAGTCCCAGAGGCTCTCGCACCCAGATACAAGTCCCCGAAGTCGCCGATGACCACGAAACGAACACCGTAGGGCTCCGAAAAGCATGGCCGACTTCGCCCAAGCGAGGGCGAGGCCTTTTTTCCTCGACAGTTTGCGACGGTGATTTCGCACGGTCGTCGCATACGTTTCGAGTTGCTGATGAATGTTGTTGACCCCACCATGTGTTGTCCGCAGCAGCTATCAATGTACCACTTATTGAAGTTGTCGCGGCTTCGTCGCGCGATGCTGGCAAACTTTGGAGTAATGATGCGGTCCAGGTCAACTTCGAAGCGCGAGATGTCGTTTTCGTGTCTCACGGGAAAGCCGGGAGGAGATTCTGGCGTGCTTGGAGGCAACCCGAAGTCAGGTGGGAGATTTGTTGGTCTGTCGATCCAACGGCTGATTGTGGGATCGTTGTTCGGGCTTGGAGTGATTGGCTCGATTGGAGCGATTGGCGGGTATTGTAATTTGTCGTAGTATCGAATGCCTCTGCGACGCGCCATGCAACTCAGAACTGACCCCTTTCCCTTGTCCTTGGATGAGATGCGTGCAGGAGTTTGCGAAGTACTTGCGACGGAAGGTGGCGACATTGTCGCCGTCGCAGCTGGTGTTGAAGGAGGCACCGATGGTTGTTGACCGGGTGAGTTGTTGCTGCGCCTTTCGTTAGCAGCCTTTTGCTTGTAGCATCGGTCCATAGTGTGACCCGGTTTCTTGCAGTACTTACAGAAGAACCCCTTCTTCTCGTGTGACTCCCCTTCAGTTGCACCAGCGAAAAACACAAACTTCTCCCTTTTGCCGTTTTTCTCATTATACAGGTCGATCTCTTTCTGCTCGGGAAGGAGTGTGGCGCAGATGGGGGATTTGGAAATGGTTGATCGAGCGCGAAGCAACGACTGGCACTGGCGCCACTCTGGTCCTAGTCCAGATAGCAGATCCCAAATCCCAGATCTCAGAGCCCAGATCTCAGATCCCAGAGCCCAGATCCCAGATTTCAGATCCCAGATCTCAGATCCCAGATCTCAGATCCCAGATCTCAGATCCCAGATCTCAGATCCCAGATTTCAGATCCCAGATCTCAGATCCCAGATCTCAGATCCCAGATCTCGGATCCCAGATCTCAGATCCCAGATTTCAGATCCCAGATCCCAGAGCTTAGAGCCCAAAGCCCAGAGAAAATACGGATTAAAAGGTTCCTGCAATGAGCAAGTAAGTCAAGCCCTGGATTTTGCAATGCGTGCGGAACAACACAGGAGCGACGCAAACAGAGCGTGCACAGGAAGGATGCGACGACTCATTGCAAATTAATGTGAGCTCTGCACCCGACAAGTCATACCCCGCCCCGACTCTGCAATGTGTGTGGGGCGCCAGCCTAAACAGAACCGCCACGAGGGAAATGTGAACTGCGAAGCAACAGAGGCTTTACAGGAGTACTGTGAAGTGTGAAGCAACAAAAACTTTACGGGAGAAGCCTGCCTACAGGGAAAGGTCAAGCCAACTCCGTGAGCTCTGGATCAGACAGATCAAACTCTGGATTCTGCAATACACGGACGAGCGGTTTAGACTCCCAACCCACAGGTAAGATATCCAGACTGAGCCACTTGCTGCAGCCCTCTGCTTGAGCCACTTGCTGCAGCCCTCTGCTAGCTACCTCCATCCCACGCCAAGGCACCCACCCATTTCCATCACAACAGCTCCCACCCACCCACCTCTATCTGAAACCGCTCCAGCATGAGCCGTCTCGACCCCTGATCCGCAGAGAAAGCATCCAGAGTGTTCTCTTTGATTGGACCCACCCGCCTCTTTCTGAAAGCGGTCTGGTGCCTATGTGATTGGACCCACCCGCCTATGTCCCAAGCCATCTTCATCTGAAATGCTCCCACCCACCCACCTCTATCTGAAACCGCTCCAGCATGAGCCGTCTTGACTCCTGGTCCGCAGAGAAGGCATCCAAGGTGTGCCCTTTGATGGCCCCTGGCCACGGCTTGCCTCTCTCGGCCTTTTGCAATGAGATGTGGAGCTCAGTGCCCTCTGTGGGGTGCAATGGGGTGAAGAAAGGAAAAGTAGAGAGCATCCAGAGTGTGCCCCTTGATTGCACCGCCTGGCCACGGCTTGCCTCTCTCGGCTTTTTGCAACGAGATGTGGAGCTCAGTGCCCTCTGTGGGACGCAAGGAGGTGAAGGGAAGAGGAGGAGAAGGCATCAAGAGTGTGCCCCTTGATTGCCCCTGGCCACGGTGCCTCTCTCGGCCTTTTGCAACGAAATGTGGAGCTCAGAGCCCTCTGTGGGGTGCAAAGAGGTGGAGACGGTCAGAAGCCGTGCAACCCTGGTAGGGAAGAATAAGAGAAGCGAACAGGTAGGGGAGAGGAAGAAAAGGCATCCAAAGACAGGAAGATGAGGAGAGAGCATCCAGAGTGAGCCCCTTTATTGCGCCCGGCCACTTCTTGCCTCCCTCGGCCTTTTGCAGCGAGATGTGGAGCTCAGAGCCCTCTGTGGGATGCAAAGAGGTGAAGGGAAGAGGAGGAGAAAGCATTAGGAGTGTGCCCCTTGATTGCGCCCGGCCACGGCTTGCCTCGTTCGGCCTTTTGCAACAAAATGTGGAGCTCAGAGCCCTCTGTGGGACGTGGAAAAGCAGGGAGGAGAGCAGAAGTCATGCATGTTGGTAGCAGTTCTTTGCCTTTGGCAAATAAAGAGGTGGAGCTCAGCGCCTTCTGTGTGTGGGACGCAAAAAGGTGAAGACGGGGAAGAAATGTCATTACCAGTGTGCCCTTCATTGTGCGTGTGGAGCTCAGTAACCTGTGCGGAACAAATAGAGTATTTCAAGCCCTAAGGTACCCAGGTATGCCATATCTGGATACCTTAGGGTCCATATTTCAAACCCTAAGGGCGAACAGAAGGGGAAAACAGAAGAATGATGCGGAGAGCAAAAACTAAAACTCACTAACAGTTCAGAAGCGGCCTTCCATCTTCAGAGGGCCAGCTAAGTTGTGCTAAATCGGGCCAATTTACATATGAAATGGAGAAGGGGGAGGGGGACTGCAACTCACCAATGGTCCAGAAGCTGTCGTCCACCTTCACAGCCCCCGCTAGGTCGTGCTGTCATGTGGGAGGGAGAGACAAACGAGGTGATAAGAACAGGGGGTGATAGGGGGTGAGAGGGGGTGAGAAGGGGTGAGAGGATGAGAGAGGAGACGTGTTTTGAGTGGACTCGGAAGCTGTCGTCCACCTTCACAGCCGCGGCCAGGTCGTGCTGTCAGCCACGTGGGCAAGAGCAAGGCAGGGGATGCAATGCGAGAGGGTGAGCACGGAAGGGTACTGCAGTCTTTTTCTCCAAAACAAAAAAAAAACACTTTGAATGACCGAGGCAGGCATCGAACCCGCCTGTAAGAACGAAATCACAACCATGCAGTGTGATGCTGCTAGTTATTATCCAACGGCATCATTCCTCACTGTGACGTTTGGCAAGCAGTCACAATCTCACACTCGTGCGACCATGCAATGTGGATCTGCCATCAGACGTCACACCATATTCCTCTCAGACAGCTTATCAGACACCACACCATCAGATAGGCACGCAGATGCGGTGGTTTAAGAAACATACGTCCAAGTAAGGCGGATTGCCCTTGATGCCGACCGTGATGTGCCGTTGCGCTATTTGGCACGTGAACATTTTTGCGGGCACTCCTTCGGGAAGCGGAACGAAAAGCTCTATCTCGTCAACTGTCTGGTCCCACTCATAGACGGTTTGGCCTGTGGGTTTAAGAACAGGACAGAGAATCGAAATTGGAATGGGAGAAAGACACACTGAAGCAACCCCTCTGGACGAATGGGACGGGTCGTTGTTTTTCTCTCCACACCAAAGCAGCTTCTCCGGTTTGGATCCACTCAAAGGCGGTTGTGCTTGTGGATTTTAAAATGGAGCGAGAGTTTGAAGAGAAACTTTAGAGGAGGCGTTTCAAAAGCCAGTCATAGAAGGTTTGGCCTGTAGGGCTAGAATGTAGGGAGAATTTAAGAGAAATCTGAGACAGTTCGGTCAACTTCTTGAGATAGAAACCTTGTCTCAACAGTAATTCACCACACCGCTGTGAACGACTTGAAACTCTATCAATCCTGCAGTATCACCGACAGTAATAATTGTCGTTCTATCCTGTTGTTGTATAGCAAGCTTAAAGCTCTATTAATCTCACCGCTGTGAAAGAGCTTAAGATTTTATATATCTCACCTTTGTGAACGAACTTGAAGCGCTTGTCCGGAGAGAGCCTGTCCGTCATGGCATCACCAGCTGCTGGTAGTGCTGCCGCTGATGGTGATGCTGCTGCTGATGCTGTTTGCTCCATGCCTCATCTCGCACACCTCACTGTCTCACCGTTGTGAACGAACTTGAACCGTTTGTCCGGAGCGAGCCTGCTGCTGCTACTGCCGGTGCTGGTGCTGGCAATGCTGCTGCTAATGCTTTTGCTCTATACCAGCTCGCACACCTCACTGTCTCACCGTTGTGAACGGACTTGAACCGTTTGTCCGGAGCGAGCCTGCTGCTGCTACTGCCGGTGCTGGTGCTGGCAATGCTACTACTAATGCTGTTGCTCTATACCAGCTCGCACACCTCAATGTCTCACCGTTGTGTACGAACTTGAACTGCTTGTCAGGAGCGAGCCCGTCTGACTTGATTGCATCACCTGCTGCTGCTACTACTGCCTCTGCTGGCTCCTGCTGCTGCGGATGCTAATAATGAGGCTGGTACCGCTGATGCTGCTAATAGTGCTCCATCGCAAAACTAGCTTGAGTAGTTTTCGTGTAGAAAACCACTCGCTGGCAAATAGAGGGGGGAAACCAGTAGCAATCGCCTCGCAAACCTATAGGTTTGGCCAATGGTTGGCTACTTCCAAGGTTTTCGGGCGAATCAATTGCGTGTAGCCACGAGGTTCGTCCGAAATGTGGTTGGGTTTGAACTGTCTCCGAGGCACAGGTGGTGAGTGTTCGGTTTGGCAGAGGCTTGGAAATTTCTAGGGTTGATTGCGAATCAATCATGAGCTGCACGTTCCCAGGAATTTGGAAATGTCGTTGCTGCTGTCGTTGCTACTCTCGTTGCTGCTGTCGTTGCTGCTGTCGTTGCTGCTGTCGTTGCTGCTGTCGTTGCTGCTGTCGTTGCTGCTGTCGTTGATGCTGTCGTTGATGCTGTCGTTGATGCTGTCGTTGCTGCTGTTGTTGCTGCTGTCGTTGATGCTGTCGTTGCTGCTGTTGTTGCTGCTGTCGTTGCTGCTGTCGTTGATGCTGTCGTTGCTGCTGTCGTTGCTGCTGTCCTTGCTGCTGTCGTTGCTGCTGTCGTTGCTGCTGTCGTTGCTACTGTCGTTGCTGTTCTCGTTGCTGTTCTCGTTGCTGTTGTCGTTGCTGTTGTCGTTGCTGTTGTCGTTGCTGTTGTCGTTGATGTTGTCGTTGTTGTTGGTGTTGCTGTTGCTGTTGTTGTTGCTGTTGCTGTTGCTGTTTTGAAACCTGACGTTGGTAGGTTTCGTCACGAGGTGCATGCATCCAGCTACAGGTCCCATACACCTGCTTGTTCGTCACCTTGAGCCCGTCGCACCAGCAGCAAGCTCTCATTCTCATCGACGAGCTGTTAGAGAAGTCACATTTGTGACTCCAGCCCTCGTTCCTTCTCACGTTCGACCCCCGTTCTTTCTCACGATCGAGACTTAGCTCCTCACGTTCGCGACTTGTTATCGCGTTCGTGATTTCACCCGTTTTTTTTTTTGTTCGCTCTCACCTCTGTTCCTGCAGTTGTCGAAGTGTTTAAGGTCACCGAATACGAAACGACAAAGAAACCGGAGCAAGGCACTGCTAGCAACGACAAAAAGACAGCAGTGCAAGGCAATTCGTTGGACGCAGCTTCTCTAACAGCCTCAGTTCTCGGCACTGGTAAGCCATCTCGTATGCCCTCGTCTTCCTCGTGAAAAGCACATCCATTTTCCTGTTTTCGTCAGTTTATGTGCTCGATAGTTGTTAGACGCTGTCTAGTCGCTAAGTTTACCGCTCTTCCGTAATATCACCTTGAACACTCTTAGTTGTTTCAATATTGTCAGGTATTGGTCTATGCGGGCGACGCGTGGAGCCGATATGATGGTTGTCTGCAGATTCAACTGTTAGGTGCGCTGCTTAGTCGACTTTGAAGCTGAGAGGTGCGCAGCTTAGTCGATTTTGTGTTATATTTATTTGTTTTATGTTTCATCCCATGTCACCGTGCATTTCCTGCTCTGGTTTCCCATGTTTTGGCAGATAGTGGATGGAGTATCTTTTTGTTTTTGTCGGACTCCTTACGGTGTTCTCTCAGGTGTTTATTTACATTGATGCATTGGCTTGGTTCCCCTGCAGCTTGTAAGTATATACGTATTTTTGTTTTCACCCTGCATTTTGGTCTTCTTACCTTTGTTTTCATTGTACTTTTGGTGTTGGCACAGCTGCAAAAATCATGCGTGGGCACAGCCCTGGATTAGTTATCCTTGGTGCTGGCGTTGACCTGTTAGTGCTAATTTAATATGCCGCTGTTTATATTAGTTTCGTAGACGGGATTGGGCGTTTATCTGTGTAATTAATGCATTTTAATAAGTAATTGCTATTCAACGACTTTGTGGTGCTGAAATTTTGGTCGAAATAAGCAGCTCAATTTTTACGGTTTTATATTGGTTTAATTGTACTGTTTACCGAAGCTACTTAATTATGTATAAGGTTCTTCATACGCAGGTGTTATTCTAGCGAAAGATAGTGTACTAATATCATCACCAATTCTTGCTTCGGTAGTGTCACATATTAATCACAACAGATCTTTTTATTAGCATTGCAAATTTTTTTGGTGTATGTATCGATGTTCGCGACAGTGTCGCGACATCCAACAAAAAGATTATGCGCAACCAATAAAAAACTAACCACGCCCAATGTATCCCAGCCAGGTGTCCTCGGTGTGTGCCGAGATTTTCAAACCATCTGTGCAGGCTCGGCAGCCTTTCATTCGCCCAACCGAAAACCAATCGCAGGCTAGATGCCACTAGGATAGAAAACCAATCGCCGAAACCAGGCAAATGCCTGGACCCGAAAACCACTCGCCAGCAAGTGGTTTCCCAAAACGATTGCGGGACCCCCAAAATTCCCGATGTCCCGCTAATAATAATGCCACTGCTGATGGCAATGCTGCTGCTAATGCTGTTGCTCTATGCTTCATCGCTCACACGTCATGTCTCACCGTTGTGAACGAACTTGAAGCGTTTGTCGGGAGCGAGCCTGCCCGACATGGCATCGACTGTTCCTGCTGCCGCTGCTGCTGCTAATGCCGCTGCTGGTGCTGATGTTGATACTGGTAATGATGCTGGTAGTTATGCCGCTGCTGATGGTAATGCTGCTGCAGTGATGCTGTTGCTAAGCCAACGAACTGTCACTGTTAACAATAATCATCTGAGAAGATTTGAACAAGAATGAATGAACTATGAATGAAGTGAGTACATATAGGAAACCATAATTGGGTTGTACCCCCTATGGGATACCCCACTATAGCCTACACAACTGCATAAGCTATATATATGTTCTGACACACCCCCATAGGCAAAGTGGGGGAGAACAAGGGGTCACAAGACCAGTCACGCAAAGCACAGCAAGCTCAGGGTGGATCACAAAGTCACCACACAGTCCGAGCACAACGACAAGGCCACAAGGCCAGTTCACATGCAGGAGTGCACATATATATATAGAGCTAGACAAGCAAGAGCAGGTATATATATGTGACAGTACAAGCAAGGTCAAGAGGAGAGCAAGTGAGGCAAGACAGGTACAAGACCCAGCTGAGTGCAGAAGCGCTGATGGTCACAAGGCGCAAGTGCCTTGGTGAACACATCAGCAGTGTTGGCCTCAGAGGCCACGTACGCAAGTCGCAACTGACCACGCTGCTGCAGCTCACGAGCAAGAAAGTAACGAAGAGCAATGTGCTTCGTTCTGTGCTCCAAGCGCTGCTCTCGACACAAGGCCAGCATGGCCTTGTTATCTACGTACAGCACTGGAGGAGAACGAGGCGGCTCTCCAAGGTCAGTCAGCAGGTAGGTGAGCCAGCGAAGCTCCTGTGCAGCCATGGCCCCGGCGTAGATCTCAGCCTCACAACTGGAGCCGAGCACAGAGGACGAGCGGGTAGCCCGCCACGAGACAGAGCCGGAACCAAGACTGAAGGTGTAACCCTGCGACGACCGCTGCGTAGCCTGGTCGTCAGCCCAAGAAGCGTCCGCGTGCCCAGTGAGGACCACTGGACTCCGCCCTCCAAGCACTAGCCCCATGCCCGACGTACTGCACAAGTAGCGCAACACCCTCTTCGCTGCAGCCATGTGCTCTGGTCGGTGTCTCCCAGGAGCAACATAGCGTGCAAGAATGCTAAGAGGGTATGCAAGGTCAGGTCGTGTGCAGGTCATCAGGTACATGAGGCAGCCAACAAGCTCTGGGTACGGGCCACTCGACTCTACGGACTCATCCGAAGGCAGAGCTGAGAGCGAGTGGCGAGTAGACAGAGGAGTGGCCTGAGGCGAGGAGTACGTGAAGCCGAAGCGCTGAAGGACCTGCTGCACCATGTGTGACTGAGTCAAGGTAATGGTGCGGCGTGCTCTGTCCCGAGTGATCTGCAAGCCAAGGTAGCTGCGCAGTTCACCCAGGTCTGTGCACGTGTGTCTCTTCTGTAGCTCGGACTTCACGTAGGCTAGTCCAGCAGTGTCAGCTGTGGCAAAGACCAA